AGACTTGGAAATAATATGGCCTAAGTATGTAGCTTTCTGTTAACCCAGGTTAATCAAGGATAAAACCAAGAATGGCCAGAGAAGCAAGTTTCATAATTATTTCTTCCAAAAGGGTGTTTGTTAAGAGCTGGGCGGTAGTTCTGATAGATTTAAGTGTCCTATCTGGTCTTCGCTTAACTTATACTAATTTAAGATTTGATACCATCACCTGCCTGCCCATTCCCAAATCGACAGATTCAGAATGGAGGAAATTCTATTATTATTAGGTGCTGTTATTAAAAGCCAGCATGAGTGCTTCTTATGTGCCAGGCTCTGTGCCTGGTTTCCCCAGCATTCTCTCATTTAATCCTCCCATAAATCCTAGGTGATAGGGACTATTATTAGTCCCATTTTACAAATAAGGAACAAAGGCTTGGAGAATTTGAGATTGCTCAAGGTCACAGAGCTAATTATCCAGTTCTTTCTGATTCCAAAGCCCAGGCTCTTGGCCCTACCCTCCGGGCTCCTGGTATTAAAGAAATGTGATTACTGACAGAAATGCTAATGTTTGTCTGGAGGGACTGGAGCAGCCTAGATTAAGGTCAGTGGAGGAGGAAAGAAATGTTTATTACAACAAGATAACAGTAGAGCAACCTATAAATGAAATAAAGGGATGGAAAATCCTGTGAAAAGCAGAAGTTGCAAAAGAAAGTGATTCTGAGAATACTTTTTTTTAACTGGTATTAAAACCCAGGGCCTTCACACTGACCTACCTCCCTACCCTTTTTCCCATTTTTTAGTTTGAGACAAGGGTCTCACTAAGTCACCAAACTGTCCAGGCTGGGCTCAAATTTGCAGTTCTTCTGTCTCAGCCTCCCAAAGTGATGGGATTAGGGAATTCTGTCTTAACCCTGGAAAAAAGGAGAAAGCAACCATTTTTTCCTCTTCCTCCCTTAGAAATAGTATTATTTCTACTCTAGAAACTTTAAACTTTGGCTCTCTTGATCATTCATTCATTCAACCAACAGGTATTTTACCCAGTGCCACTCAGTGCTAATTACTGTCAGCACTGGGCAACTCAGGAAAGCTCTCAGTCCTCTGTACCACTAAACAAGTAGACAACATGTTTTGGATAATGTTCAAGTGCTCTGGAAAAAAATAAAGTCAAAGCGAGGGCTAGGGGGCAGTATCCTCTAGAAAAAGTGAGAAGTCAGTCACACACAAATTGGAAAGGGGCATCTGGGAAGAGGGACTAACAGAGAAAGACCCTGTGACCACGTGCGCACAACATGTTCCAGAAACCCCAGGAAGGCCCCTCTGTGTAGCTGCCTCGGAGAAGCCAGGCAGTCCAGGTGGAGATGGCTGGGAGAGGAAGATGGAGAAGCCGGGTGAGGGAGGCAGCCAGTACACAGCCTCCAGAGAAAGGGGCTGGATCACATCTGAAGGGCAGGGGAGACCGCTGGGAAACTAAACAGGAGAGCAGCAGACTTGGACTTACTTTAAGCCCTCCAGAGCTGAAGCCACAGCTCCCAGGGAAATTCAGGCAGGTGCAATCCTTGACAGACTCCGGTGCGCATTGCCTTTTGTTAAGCACAATACACTGAAAACTGTCAACTCTAACAAAACCCTTTAGCCCACAGGTCCTGGCTGGGTTTCCATCCCGGGCAGGCCAACATCTGAAACGATGGCCTCTTCATTTTTTCCAGAGCTTGTCTGAGCTTACTGGTTTAGCGGATGGTCCCCAGGGAAATCCTGAGTTAATTTCCAAAGGGAATGGGTCCTAGGGCCGGGGATTTAGCTCAGTGGTTCCGGCACCAGCCTTGCAAGCCCAAGGTCCCGAGTTCGATCCCTGGTACCAAAAAAAAAAAAAGGGACCGGGTCCTGATCCTTCATTTGCATCTCACCTGAACATCTCTTCCCTTTGCTTTTCCTATCTTAGGATATCCTATCTCTTGCCATGCTTCCGTTGCTCTCCGGCTTTCCATATGCTCACACTAAACATTCTGAGTATGAGCTGTTGGCCAAATTGAACTTATTAAAGTTAACTTACTACACAGTCCCACAGTGAATGTTCCCACAGAAGGCATACCTTTGGCAAAAAGGAACATAGTTGATTTTGCATTTGGAATATTGAGACCTTTTTGAAACTAAATTGCACCTTTGATTAATCCAAAGAAATTTCTTCTACCAACATGTTTGGACACAATAAGAGGGGAAGAAATCAAATGTGTGGCTGCATCAGGTGTATATATGTCTATGCTTGAAGGCAGAGGTAACAGCATCAGAAGCTGGATGACTAACAAGATCCACCTGCACACAGGAGCTATGCTGTCTGAGACCAAAGCTAAGTCGGCAACCAAACGTGGGAACTTGTGTCTTATTAACATCTGATGACAGACAAGCCCTGACTCCCCTACCCCCCAAATAAAAACAAAACCACCAGCCTGGCTTTCCCCTGGGGCTACACAGTCCAGATGTTAAATAAAATCAACCCTTTCTTCTGCAGGCCAATTGTTAGTCCCCTGGGGAACAATGACTGAGCTGCTGCCTCAAAACCATTAACATCATTATGCCAACGAAAACTCAAATCATCTGTGACCAGAACAGCAACTCAAGAGCACAGCTCCCAGCCCAGCCCCCATGCACCTAGAAACATCTAGCTGCACAGAGCAGTGAGCAGTAGCCCTCAGCCCATGGGGGCGGGGGGGGGGCGCGCAGGAAGAGAGGGCTGCCAGTCTCTCACCACCAACTGCTTCATGCCAGCTGAAAACAAACCATCCTGTGCCCCTAGACTTTTCAAAACCCAAGCTTAGTGTGATCAGCAGCTGAGTGACCCTGGGCTTGGAGGGTGGGCCATACACTGACTTCTGCATTTCATATCCAAGTTCATGCTCATCGTTCAGGGCCACCACCTCCTACCAGATCAGTTTCTAATCAGCCACCTGCATCACAACCTCATAGATACTTATTTAAAATGCAGAAGCCTGTGCCCCACTTGAAAATAAGCAACTCTGGAGTGGCCCTACAAACTGTATTTTTAAACACTACCCAGGCTGGTCATCTTTACGCATATTTAAGTTTGGGGACCTCTGTCACAAACCAATGTTTCTCTAACTGTGGGTCATGACCTGTTTGGTTAGGAAATCAAATTAATGAGTCATGACTAGCAGTTGTTTTTTTTTTAATGTAGAAAAAAGTTAAGCAGAGCACACTGCAAGTAGTAAACGATGTTTCCTGAAACTTATTTCAGTTGTGGACTTGGGTACAGTGCTATAAAACATATTCCTTATGATGGATCTCACTAAAAGTTTGAAAATCATATTCCTAGAGGGAAGAGGGAAAAAACAGTATTTTTTTTTTTTTCCGGCACCAGGAATCGAACTCCGGTCCTTCTTCTTGCGAGGCAAGTGGCAGAACCACTGAGCTAAATCCCCGGCCCAAAAACAGTATTCTTGGACATGGTGTTTATTTTCTATTTTCCATCCCTACCTCCAAGCTTCCTGATGATCTCAAGTAGAGATAATCAAGACTGATCTGAGATATGGTGTCACAGAATCCTAAATTGATAAGGCAGAGCCCAATTGAGGAAGGGGATGAACCCAAGAACCCACTCCAATTCTGCTGGAGACACCCCCCACCCCCACCCCCGCTCATGGAGCTGGGGACACAGGAAGGTACCAAATAAGTTTACACAGCTCTTCTCAGGCTGGGCCTGTTCCTGAAGAAAAGAACTCGTAGCTATTCTCATCACAGGGGTGAAGACTGAAAATGTTCCTCCATCCAAGAAGCAAGACTCAGCCTCAAGTGTGGAGGAAGTGAGGAACAGAGGACAGAGCTTAGGCTGGGCCCATCTCCGGGGTCCTGTGGTAGACTGGGTAGAAGGGAGGTAGGGAAGGGTGAATCCAATCTCGCTGTCACAGGTTCTGTGGCCACAGAACCCAGAGACCACTGGAGAGCATCAAGCATGTGACATCAGGTCCCACCGCAGAACTAGTGAGGAAATTCACTTCTCAATCCCCTGGATTCCTTGCACCTCTGACGTTTTGTGAAGTGGGATACAGCGTTTGCGCGCCTTACCCTTCCTGACTAATGCTCTGCGAGCCGGAGCCCCATCTTGCTGGAATAGATGAGAGGAAAAAGGAAAAGGGAGGGTGGGAAAAACGCAGCTCGCGGCCTTGTGAGTCCTTCTCCTCGCCAGAGGCCGACTCGCTCAAAAGACCCTCCCACGTTGCAAGGACAGCAAATCTGCAAGGAGCCCCCAAAGCAAAACCCCAGCTAGGCTCAGGTGCAGTTTCGTGCGCCATTCGCCGCGGCGCGAATGTGGGAGGATCGGCTGTCCGCTGAGCGGGGGAAAACAAAACTATCACAGCGCGGAGTGAAGTCAGAGGGGGCAGCGCCCTGAAAACGAGGTCCCAAGGAACAGGTGCCCCCACCCGGGAACCCGGGATGAGAGAAAGCCCGCCGCCGGGGGGGGGGGGGGCACCCAGGAGGCCAAGCTGGTGAAGGTGAAGGGATGGGGTCGGGGCCGCCGCACCCCGCCGGGCAGGCCCTCGCTGCGGTCCCTGCGCCGGGGCTGGCGATACGCTCCGAGCACTTTCGCGGGCGCCCGGTCCCCCACTCTGCACGGCGTCCCAGATCCCAGGGTCGCCAAGGGAGACGCCGCGTCACGCAGGGACAGAAAACGTCCAAAGCCCCCACCTCGACCTCACGGAGTCCAAACCCGCGGGGACGCGGCTGAGGAAGGGGCCTCGATCCGGTCCTCCTTCCCAACTCGCCCGGTCCTCGCTCCGCTCCCCAGCCCCGAACCCGGGATCTGCGCAGCTCGCTCCGGCCCCGCGCTGTTTGTAAACAAACCGGTCACGTGGCCCGGCGCCCGCCCCCGGCGCCCGGGTCCCCGCGGGGACCCCACGCAGGACCTCTCCAGCGTCGCCGCGGGCCCGGGGCGCTGCGCTGTGCGCGGGAGCCGGGCTGCAGGGACAGCAGGGCCGGGGTCCGCGCCCACGCGCGCCCGCCAAGCTCACCCGGTAGCAGGCGCCCCGTCCGGCCAGCGCCGGGTTCGGCTCCGCGGGGTGCGCAGCAGCCTAGGACGGCGCGGCTGGCTCGCGGAATCCCGGTGCGCTCTTAAAGTCACAGTCTCCGCCGCCGCCGCCGCCGCCACTCGGCCACCCTCCCGGGCCGGGCCGGGGGGCTGCCCCGTGACGGACGCGCCCCCGCGCCTATCCCCTCGGCCCGGCACCTAGCAACACGCCGCGGGTTGGCCCGGCGCGGCCGCAGCCCATCCGCGCCGAGCCAATCAGCGGAGGACGGAACTCCGCCCCTGCTTCCCCTACCGCCCACCCCCACCCCTGTCCTGGCCAGGCTCGGGTGGGCTGGGTGCAGCGGTGCGGGGTCCCGCGGGCGGGCGGGGAGGAAGGGTCGTGAGGATGGGTAGGCTCTGACCCTGGCAGGAGACTGATAGTTTGGATTTAGGATTTGTCTCCAGGTCACGGTTGGGGTTCCCAGAACCTGGGGAGCGGGAGAGGGCAAGGTTGGGCAGCGGGATGTGTACTGCTTCTACCCGGAGAGCCAGGAAAGCAATTCCCCCTGCGCTTCAGACCGTCCCTAACCCAGAGCCTGAGTTCGCAGAAGTGGCCCTCAGACCCGGCGCACTTGCATTTAAGAAGATTGTACCAGTCCCGCCAGACCCAGCCACCCTCCGCTCTAGAGAAATGCTCTCCTCTTTTCTCCCTGGCCTGCTGGTGGTCTTTCGGCGAGTTAGAAGTAGGAAAGGGGCTTTGGAAGGCCCCATTGCCACGAGCTTACCAGGGCTTTTAGAGGGAGGATGGGCAACCCAGGAGAGAGTAGGATGGTCAAGGTGGCATGAGGGGAGGAGCCCACGTTCTGGGTCAGTGGGGTGGTGCTTTTCAAGGAAGAGAAGGTTAAAAAATAAGCTCCGGCAGTCGGGAAATCTAGGGAGGCACCAGGTGGGTGGAGTGGGGCAGTCTCCCAACCAGAAAACAGGTCAATTTGATAAAGAACGCTAGCTAGGGCAAAGGAAGAGAGCGGTCAGCCTTTTCGCCCAGCCACGGATGGGTTCAACAATTCCTCATTTCTCAGAGGAAATCACGTGTTATTACTGTCATTTTAGGAAGAGAGAAATAAAGAAGAAAATGCATGTTTCATTGAGCAGCTATCAGGATGTGAGATGCTCCGGGGGCCCGGAGACTCCAGCTCCCATACACTGGTTGGCAGGCAAGTCCAGAGTGGTCGCTCAGCTCTTACCTCTCAGCTCCACCCAGCGAATTGTGTATTTGGTCAAAGAAACTGTGTCCAGTTAATGTGGGGTACATTGCATGGCTGAACTGAATTCAGCCCCAATGTTAGTAAAAACTACAAAAATGCCTCCCATACATATTAGTAGCTATCAGTCTTTGAATTTCACTTTCAGTGTAAATAAGGGTATTGTCATTGTTTACAATGGACTCATTTGGAAAGTAAATCATGAAAAAATGCCTTTAGACAAGAATCACAAAGAAGAAAGGTTTAGCATTTAATCCTTACTTTAAGATGTAAAAATTTTTTAGATTATCAAGAGCTTGGTTTCTAGCCCTGATCTGCCTCTTGGGCAAGTTTGTTTCCCTAAGGCCTTGCTTTGCATGGGGGAGCCAGCTGTGGTGGCAAATGCCTGTAATCCCAGCGCTGGGGAGGCTGAGATAGGAGGATTGCCGTGAGTTCAAGGTGTAGATCACCAGTAGACTGCATGCCTAGTGTGTGCTGAGGCTCTGGGTTCAAGCCTCTGCCCTGCATAAATAAAATTGAAATAAGATGCTTTCTCAAGTCTTCTCCAGCTCTAAAGTTCTAAGTAAGGAGCCAGAAAGTTAAACTTGTTACACTTCTGCAGTATTGTGTTAGTGAATATTTGTGTTGCCAGATCACCTCTCCTGGACAGTAGATTCCGCATTGGTTTAACACCTAGGGTACCGGGAGGTTATGTAACAAGATTGGTGGCTACTGTTCCTGTTTAAATAAAAGATGTTAGCTAAAGAAGATCAGCCAAGTGCCTTGGTTGGCAGGGAGCTCTGAGGACCCCTTCAGGCCTGCTGTGTGTTTGCAAGAGAAGGGAAGAGGCAACAGAAGCTCAGGGCCCGAGGACAATGGAATTATCTGGCCAACAACAACACGTTTATTAAGCCCAATCATGTCTCCATCATGTCTCCTCCCCTCCCAGCCTGAAAGAGCCAAGCTTTGTGGGCTGAGAAGGGAGAAGTGAAACAATGGAGTAAGTCAAACAAAGTACTAGAAGCTACTGTCCTTCCTCTCTGGACCAAGCACCTTTCGTTGCCCTTAGTACACATTTACTCAATGCCAGTGATGTGCTTGACTTGCACGCATATTCTGAGTACTTTCTGAGCAGAGGAAAGTTGAGGATAGGCAGATATGAGATAGGCAGAGCCGGGTGAGGTGGTGCATGCCTCTAATCCCAGCATTTAGGAGGCTGAGGCAGGAGGATCACCAAGAATTCGAGACCAACCTGGGCTATATAATGAGGTCGATGCCAGCCTGGACTATATGGCAAGACCCTGTCTCCAAAATAAAACAAAAACTCAAAAACCCAAAATAAAAAATTTTAAAAGGGCCGGGGATTTAGCTCAGTGGTTCTGCTGCCTGCCTCAAGAATTTTAAAAAAGGAGGTAGGCAGATATTTATCCTGGTGGACAAAACAAACAAACAAAAAAAAAAACGTGAGGCAGCAAGAGAGACATCAAAAAATGCCCGACAGAGGGCTCTTCCGGAAGCACGTGTACCTTGGCACAGTGTGAGGGGTTCCTGAGAGATTATCTGTGGCTTTGTCAGTGACACAGTACTCCATCCCCGGTGTGGAGCCAGATTTCTTCATTCCCAACACTTTCACAGCCGTCTTGTCCAGCAGCTTCTCTCACAACCCATCAGCAGCCACTTCAGACTTACACATTTGCACCTGGCGGGGTGGCACATACCTGTGATCTCAACACTGCGGGAAGCTGAGGCAGGAATATCGAAAGTTCATGCCCAGCCTGGGCAACTCCATGGTTTAGGGAGACTCTGTCTCCGAATAAAAAATACAAAGTGCTGGGCATGTACCTCAGTGCCAAGGCTCTCATTTGATCCTCAGTACCGCCTCTCCCTCATGCATTTGGTCTGAACACATCTGGCTCCACTCCTGCCACTCTGGCCAGAGCCACCTCAGCCTCTTGCTTGGTGTAAGCAGCAGCCTCTGAGCAGGTCTCCCCACTGCCAATCTGTCCCCTGTGCTGAAGCCAGGTGGCACTGCTTCGAAATGAACTTGTGCAGCCTGCAGGCCCCCTGACCAGGCCTGCCCACCTCCCTGGTCCTCTTCCATCTGTGGTTGATCACACCGCTCCAATCAAGCCAGCCTTCTGTGTCCCCCTGGGGTGCCGGGCTTGGTCCTGTTCCATATGTACAGTCACCCCAAGATCAGCTTCAGGGTCTCCCCTGGACCCCTGGCTACCAAACATGCCCAAGTCCCTAGGCATATCATCCTGTGTACTTTATATCATTTCTAGCCAGGTGTGGTGGCACAAGCTTGCAATCCTAACACTCAGGAAACTGAGGCAGGAGGATCATCACGAGTTTGAGGCCAGCCTGAGGTACATAGTGAGTTTAAGGGAGCCTGAACTACATAGCAAGACCCTGTCTCCAAAAAAGACAAAAAAATAATCATTTCTAGATGGCTCAGGATGCCCAGTACAATGTAAATGGTGTAGGAATGATTGTTAGGCTACTGTTTAGGGAATAATAACAACAACAAAGTCTATACATGTTCAGTACAGACACTGTGTTTTTTCTTGACTATTATGAATCCGTGGTTGGTTGATTCCACCTACACCAAAGCTGTGGATATGGAGGGCCCAGCTCACTGCGGTTCCTTCCCATCGCTCCACCGGGAATACTTTGCCTCTTCTGTGGTTCTCAGGTCAAGGCCTCCTCCAGAGAGGCCTCCCGATTGCCCAACTTTTTTTTTTTCTTGAGACAGGGTCTTGCTATGTAGCCCAGGCTAACCTTGAACTCACAGCAATCCTCCTGCCTCAGCCTCCCAAGTGCTGGGATTACAGGCGTGTACAATCTTACATGCTTCTTCCTCCATAGTACTCTCTACCTTCTCCCAGTTTATCTTTTTCATAAAATCTCTCTCTCTCTCTCTCTCTCTCTCTCTCTCCTAGTACTAGGGATTGAACCCAGGGCCTTCATACTACATGCCCAGCCCTTTTTAAATTTTTTTATTTTGAGAATTTGTTTGGTGGTTCTAGCAGGGGAGCCCAGCGAATCATATACCCTTGACTGAGGACGACCTTCCTCTGTCTGGGAAGGTTGTTCTCACTGTCCAAGTGAGGGAGGGATGCAAACAGAGCTGTGAGGGAGGAAGGGGATACTGGCCTAGTCACCAGCAGATCAGTCAGATCCACCCTGTTGATCTGATGAGTGGGGGACAGATGTCACTGCCAGATCACCCTCATATCCTTTTTTTTGAAACAGGGTCTCAAGTTGCCAAGATTGTATTCAAACTTGCAATCCTCCTGACTCAGCCTCCCAATGTGCCAGAATTATAGTTGTGTGCCACCACACCCAGCCAAAGACTTGTTTCTGCCCAGTTTATATCATTCTCTGAAATCATCTTGTTCATTTATTTTTGTTTTCTGCCCCACCCAACCCTAAAGTGTAAACTCCATGCACCATCGAGGACCTGCCTGTCTTGTTTCCTGTTGTATCCTCCATGCTAAGAAGAATACCTGGCCCTCAGCAGATACCTGCTTGTTGAATGAATAGCTAAACAAATGAATGAGTATGCCCACAGTCACAGCCTTGTCCTCAAAGTCTTGCATTTGACATGTTGTTCTCTCCTCTCTCTCCTACTTCCCTCCCCTCTGGTCTCTTTTCTTCATCTGGTCTAAAAGCCCATTCACCGGATGACTCCATGACTCCATGCAAAGATCAGAACAAATGTCTCTTCTTCAGAGGAGGAGTCTCCCTCCCCCTCCCTCTCTGTCTCCCCAGAGCACTTTACTCAGAGCTCCCTTGCATCACCCACCACCCAGCATTCCCAGTGCAGTCAGCAGTGGCAGCCTGCTCAGCGCCCCTCCCTACAGGTCTGCGTGGGGCTTGGACCCAGGGGTCACAGGCAGGAGTACACTGGGACAGATGGCCCAGCGGCTG